TCAATAGGATTACTAACACCGCCACCGCCACCTGCAACAAGTCCATCAACTTCAGTTTTATTGTAATATGGTGTAACAATTTGTGTAGAAGTTAAATAATCATTTGTTAATGTTGATGTTAAAACATATGGTGCTAATGCTGTATTATCAATCCAATTATTAGCATCTATTTCTGTTTTTGTGTAATAGTCATTATTGAGTTGTGTATTATTTTTATAATTTGCAGTTAATGTTGATGTCGTAGCGTATGGTGCTAATGCAGTTGCATCAATCCAATTATTAGCGTCAATTTCTGTTTTTGTGTAATAGTCATTATTGAGTTGTGTATTATTCTTATAGGTGTTGGTTAAATTTGTACTAATAGCATTTATAGAATTAAAATTATCAAGTGCTTTTGTATCAACCACAGAAATCGCATTATCAACCTCAGTTTTATTGTAAAAATTAATATTGAGTTGTGCTGTTGTTTGGAAGTTATTAGTAAGGTTATTATTAATATCAGTAATTACTAAATTTTGACCATCATTAACTGCAATAATCGGTGCTAATTGTGTATCTAACTCTGCTTGTGTTATTCCCCCTCCACTGCCTACATTTATATTAGCTATTTCATTATCAACATAATCTATAGTCGCGTATTGGTCGCTTAATTCAGATACTCCCGTCGTGAAAATCTTGAAAATTTGATTTGAGTAAATTGTTGTAAGGTTATTTACAGTAGCCATTATTAAATTAAGTAGATTATATTTAATTTAATAATGATATTTCGCTTCTTCCTCCCTTGCCTGTTTCCGTTTCTCACGCTTTTTTCTGTTTATCTCTTCCTTATTTGCTTCATAATATGCTTTCTTCTGTTGTTTATAATATTCTTTCTTATTTTCTACACATGTTTTTTTCGCTCTGCTATTGCTTCTTTGTTATTCTCTCTGTATTGTTTCTGGTATTCATCCATTTTGTCTTTATTCTTGAAATAGTATTCCTTATGTTGTTCTCGTCTTGCATCTATGTTGTCGTGGTAATTTTGTTTGCTCTTCTCTTTTATATATTCTTTGTTGTCTTGGTAATGTTCCTTTTTGTATTCTTGTATTTGTTCCTTGTGTTCATCACGGTATTCTTTACAATCCTGTAAAATTTTCTCTTTGTTGTTTACATAATACTCCTTCTTCTTCTGTAAATAATGTTCTTTCTTGTTTTCGTAGCATTGTTTCTTTTGTTCTACCTCTTCCTCTGCTGTTATATAAAGGGTCTATATGTATTTAAAGTTGCTCTCAATTGTTCTATATATTCTCTTTCTCTTCGTCTTGCTTCTAAAGTGTTATTACAATTTTCAGTATTAGTTAAAACCATTTCAAAATTATCAAACCCTCCATTTTCACGAATAAACTGATATAACGGTATGTTGTAATTACGAGTATTTGGGTTGTTGCAGAACCCTTTGTGTTTATGTTTGCGCTTTGTAAAATCGGTTGTATGACCTACATAGCAGTCAGCTATATTTAGGTCTTTGCAAACAATTTTGTAAAAGTGGGTATTGCTATAGTCTATCGGTTTTCTTGGCATTGCCCTATAATATCTTATAAAGTATTATGTCTTTATAAGATTTTATACTGTAAAATTAAATTTGGTAATCAATTTAATCTAAAACCGTTGAAGCCGACTCACTAAGCTCGAATACGTGTTCTGAAACCATCGTGACGAAAACTCGCTCAATTCCTAAGGCAAAGTTTTGGTTCGCCCCTTTCAATTTAAAAGTAATTAAGCTGCCCATTTTAGTATTGGAACCAGTGAAATTGACGTCGGGTTGCTTATCGAAATTTATTCCTCCGATGAACTTGTCGTTGGCGTATCGGTAAATATCAATACTGAAGCCGTCGTAATAAGGCGACATAACATTCACGGCTCTTCGTAAGAAATACATAAACTCAGCGATGCTTGTTATTTCTTGCTCGGGGAACTTCTTGTTTGCGATTTGGATTTGAGCTGAAATCCGCCTGTCGCTGTCGATGACCCCCTCCAAATTATCAATCGTGACAGCCATCGGATGGAAAAAGTAGTTCCACTTCTTCTTATCGTAATTTCCCGCCGTGTTGTCGCTGTTTATATTGCTGTTGCTGAAGGTAAAGAACATTTGCGAAAGGCGTGTAGAGGACTTAACTATATTCATGTTGATCTCGGTGTTTCCTGATGAAAAGGTTTGCGAAAAACTGTGATAGGCGGGATAAACCATTCTAAGCCGACCCCCTTTCAATAAATGGGAAACTATGTTATTATTAACAGTATTATCAACCTGTATCAATTCACATCCAAGGATGGCGTTTTGAATAGACCACGAAGTTGTCGTGTTTCTCTCCGTAATGTATTTTCTGTTGGCGTCGTCCGTTGCTTGGTCTGCTCCGTTTGTCGCCGGTTCGATCACGGGTTCAGTTGCATCGGAGACGATCTCGAAGATAAATTCTAACGGGCAATATCGAATAGGTGGATAATATCCAGATTGAACGAACCCGCAACAAGGCTTATGACCCATCCGCACGAATTTACCGCTTTCGATCCCCGTGGTGTTCAATCTGGTAAGCTTGGGTAATACGGTGCCTCTGTTATTTGCTCCCGTTGTTGCCGTGGCGTCGTGTCCTTCGATGCTGTAGGCATAAAGTCTGTTAATTCTGCTGTCGTATCGGGTCAGGCAACCTTCTTGGATGTCGTCTAAGTTTCGGACTTCTTCTGATTTAAAAGATTTCATTTCTTCGCAAACTTGATTGTAGTTGTCGATGTCGTTTAATTGCTGTCCCGCCCCATTGCATCTATAACGAGTAAAGAAGGCCTGGCTCTCTCCCAAGGGTCGCAGGTATTTGTTCGCGTCGGTATCAGTATTTAATTACGACATCGAAGAATAAAGAGACGCTGGATAAATCGAGATAATTGTTGTCCTCTCCTGTGATCACGAACTTTAAATATTTATTTCCGTTAGAGGCGCTGAAGATGTTTCCGGATACGCTGGGAAAATGAACCTGCTTACGATCTGTGATGTATGCCGCGCTTTCCGGTAATCCGAACTGGAGGGAGTTGATCATGTTGGGCTCACTTTCGGCTATTACTAAATCCATTTGTATATACTTGAATTAGATTTTTTATTATTATTTCTATTATTATACTTTCTATGTGCAATCAGGCTCTTGTTTGTCTTGAGGTTCTGAGTTGCCAACTGCGGTTGTTGCACTGCTTGAGTATCCGTTTCTACTATGCTCCGTATCGTTTCATACCCCGAATTGTTCATCTTCCGAACTATACTGTTTTTGAACCTGAGGGTTTCGGGGGGTTTTCCTACTCTCACGATTTCTTTTTTATGTCTCTCTTTGTTAAGCATAAATATAATAAAATTAGAAAAATTTTATCAAGGGTTTTCACCAGCCGGTAATGTTTCGCTCACTCCTTCGAATGCGTCGATGTCGTGGTTTTTCAAGGGGTTCAGCGTATCCGTATAAACATTCATAGCTCCTCCATCCAATGCGCTTACAATGTCCCCGACCTTCCTAAATCTCTTGCGCTGTTCCGTGTTAGGTTTGAAACCCATGCTGAAGGTAGGGCTATTGTAAGTTCTGGTTTTCAAATTTCGTTCGGGCAAATCTTTAGCTAATGTTAATACAACCGGACCTGCCTGACTGTGTCCCACCAATTCCGAAATCTGCGGGTTCTCTTTAAGTATTCGTTCGGCTTCTATGTATCTCTCCATATCACGCACACCGCCCAAAACACCGAAGGGCAGTTTCGTAAAATTCTCCAACCAATTAAAGGCGCTCGTCGTTCCGCCCACATACATTTCATTGCCTCTTACATAGATTTTATTGTTCGTGTCGTAAGCCATCCTGATGCCTTGAGTGTTCGTAATCTTGTTATTATCTTCTAACATTTTGTTTATTTTAGTTTCTATCTTACTCATTGCGTATATAAATAGAAGTATAATTTTTTTTTATCTTTTGCTAATATATAGACTATGAGTTTCAGACCCCTTACATACAAAAAAAATATATGTAAATTCTAAATACCGAACCAACGACAGCAAATCGCCTTCAAACTTTAAGATCGAGCTGAGGGAAAACTTTGAAATTCCCGATGGGACAATAGCCCAGATACACGAAGTCGCAATCCCGAACACGTGGTATACCATAAGCAGCAACAACAACAATTTATACTGGAGGCATCAAGTCCTGCCACCGGCGACACCGCAAGGGATCACCTACACGAGAATTGTAATTCCCGAA